TCCACAATCCACCTTGATGTGGGAAAGGAATACGTTTTATTGGGCTAAGCCACTAAGATATTTTGATGTTGTTATAGCATTTAGGCTAATCTGAAAACTATGGAACAAGAGGAGCAGAAATGAAAAAGTATATATACAATGCTCAGACAGTATTTTCCTTCTTTCATGGGGCAACAACAGTTTTTTCAGACTTGAATCCCAAAAGCTCCTCAGGATTCTAATTATTCAGGATGATTGTTAGCTGATGACACTCACTGACTGTCCAAGAACTGTTACAGGTCCTCAGAACTTGAGACCGACACTTGACAAGAGAAAGTAACATTCAGAGGGAGAGAAGAACCTAATGAAAGTTTCATGTTTGACTAGTAGGAAAGCAATGTGACTTTGCTTGAGTTCAGTACCTCTGTCTTTATCTCATCATTTTCAGTGCCTTTCATGATAATTACCCCTTCCTTTTGTATATAAAGTCAGAATTACAAGTGAGAGAGTTCGGATGGTACCAATGCAGAACTAAATCATTATCTACAGTTTATAAAGTTTATACTGTCAAAAGATTGGTCACAAATTGTAACTACTTATAAGGAGCTAAAGAGCAACCTTGAACAACACAATGACTAGAGACACACAGAATTTATGGGTATATATATTTTCTATTTTTCTCTTCTTATAAAAGGATGTTATGGACAAGGTTATACAGAGTTATATTGTCAGCAGGTATAAGAAGGAACTCAATTTAGTCACATCAGTTAATAAACTGTAGTTTTTAAATAGTCAAAAGGTAAATTTTTATAAAATATCATTATTTGTTAAAGGATAAAGGAAAGCAAAATTTAACTTTTACTGAGCAACTAATATGTGCCAAATAGTGTGTAAAATATATGATTTTATGAATCCTTACCATATGAAAATAAGCTTAGTCAAACTGTCATTTACCCAAGACTATATAACTAATAACTGACAGTACTGGGATGCAGACAAAATGTACTTCTTGCGTACATATTCATCTTATTCCACTTTATTGCTTCACTAAATTTCATTATTAGAATTAAATAAAATAACTAGGTCTAAAGCTAAAATTCTCAGATAAAAGTTCTATTTGTTATATTATAAATGAACAAAATGCAGTCTCCCATCTAGCATGGCTGTGCAGTGGCTGAATGTGAGTTTTGTGTTTAGAATTAATGAGAGGAGACAGAGGAAGGGTGCTGGGTTAAAAGCGGAGAAAAATAATACTATTTCAAGAAAGAAATCTCAGGACTATAGGGTCTGGGTATTGGTACTATTACTGGTATCATTTCAACCATCTGCCATGATTCCAAAAGCCTATGTCATGTAGCATACTTTTATTTTGTTTGGGCTGGGAAACATATATGGGTTGTATTCTCTGAGGCTGTGCTATGAGAGTAAGTCACTGTTGATGAGCTCTCAACCACCTAGTGCCTAACCCTCATTTTTGCTCTCTATTGTACTCATGGTAACTCCCATCCATGTCTGAATAAATCTTTTTAGTATTTTTCCCTTTATTTATCTATTTTTATTATATTTGTTTTTTTATTGAGGTATAATTGACTTGTATGTTCAAAGTATATAATGAAATAATTTGATACCTGTGTATATTGCAAAATGATCATCACAATAAGTCGTTAAAACCTAAAATTAATATTTTAATTTTATCTTTGTGTGTTTTATTGGAAACAGTATAGGATAGTCATTAAAAGCAGGTTCTGTAGTCAGATTGCCTGAGTTCAAATTCCATCTCCAATACTTACTAGCTGTGTAACTTGATAAAAGACATATTTAACATTTCTGTTCCTCAGTCTCCCTATCTGTGAGATGAGGTTAATTATAATTCTAAACACATAGGGCTATTATAATGACAAATTACTTTGTATATGCAATAGTGCCTAGTACATAGAAAATGCTCACTGTGTTAACTCTTACTATGGAACAAAATATGCTATCACAGTTTTGTGTTCATCTATCAAGTAAACCACAATGTCATGGGACTTACTGTATATAAAAATCAAAGCAAAAGAGGATTAAAGGGAAATTTGGTCTTCGTTATCAAAGACTGAGGGGTTACAAAGTACCAAATATATAATTCAGTTTTTTGTTTGTTTTTAGTCTCAGAAAATATCAAATCATTTCATAGATATTCTCTGTCTCTTAAAAGACAAAATACGCCCATGAATCTATTTGATTATTTTCTATTCTTAAGCAAGATCCCTAGTTAGTTGAGTTGATGAATGTATCATCTTTTTTCTTGAGTTAATCAAAAGAGAAAGAGAAGAGAAAGCAGAAAGAAGGGAAGGGCAGATGCCAGAAAAGGGGTGAGGACAGAGAGAGGAAGTCAAGGCTGTGGCAGTGTCAAAGATGGCTGAGAGGTTTGTGTTGCACCAGTAAATTAAGTTCCAAGTCATCCCTATTACTTGCCTAATAAAATTTTCCATGGCTCGACATACTGGGTTATTGCAACCTTTCCCATTATATCTTCTAACCTATAATTTAATGATTAATTGGCAGATTCTGTACTCCAGAGTTCTCTATCTGCCCTCCTTTCTGGGGAAATAGATAACTATTGTAGTCACTACTTATTAAATATTTCTGACCTCTGGGTTCTTTAAAATATTTCTGAGGTCTATCCCATCTGCCACTAGCATGTTTCTCTGTAGGATCCAGACTCAGTGATTGCAGACACAGTTTACTGACAGGAGATCCTGAGAACCCATAATGAAAATGAAGGCAGCAAAACACCTTTGAATGCATTTCCCAATTTAAAAAGCCTTCATTACATAGGACACTTCAGGCCAAGAATGTTAAAAATTTATCATAGTTTCAGTAATTGCAGCTTCCTCTGGAAACTTGGCATGATGTGGACTCATTTGTAAAATGTGTATTTTGTTTGGCATTCAGTAGGAAACTTGCCAGACAATACATTTAATTAGGAACATGAAGAAGAGAATAACTGTGGTCTGTCATAATGTATTATCATTACTTTTAAGTTCTATATGTGTTTAAGATGGGGTCCCATATCAAGGTATGTATTTAAAGTTAAAGGCAATCCCCTTTCATCAGCCCAGGGTTTTTATATGGGGAAATATATTATTTTGAAGGGAAAGGTACATTAGCTGCATGTTTTAGTTATAACTCTTTATCTATTGTTTAAACTGAGAGTGTTAGCTACTCTCCTAAGAAACCACCTTTGTCCATTGTTTAAGACCTTGAAAATTGATGCATTGCCTTTTGGGGGCTTAGACAGCTTTATTTAAGTGTAACTTTCTCTGGAGATGCATAGCAATAATGAAATGCACTGCCTTTCTGGAACATAACCATGTACATAACATCTAGTTCTGCCTGATGCATAAAGTAAATTTGATTAGAGTGACTCAAATATTATAATAATTAACGTTGATTTTAAAAATATTTCCAAGCAACCGATGTCAGCATATTCAGAGAGGAGAGGTATAATAACCATATTCTGAGGCCAGGTTTTCATTGTGTCAGACATGCTACTACCTTTCTTCAGGAAAACTTGCTTATAATGAATTTGAAAAGCACCATGGAAAAAGTACAATGGAAAAGACTTTTTGGCACATAGGGTGCACATGTTTTGGTATTCACATTTTCTGGTATAGAACTCTGATCATTTACTTTTTTGTGAGTCCTGTCTTTCATCAACTACATAGTGATGGTGTCCTTAGTGAACAGAGATTTTCCTCTAATAATAAATCTTATTAGATTTAGCTTTAGAGCGTCTGTCCGCAAGACCAGAGCAAAGTGTAAATAAGACATGAGAAAGATTGTTTTCATTCCCTTTCTCTTCTAACTCCACTGTATTTTGTTCCCTCAAAATTTTCCTTTTCTTTCCTTCCATCTCCCTCACTCTCCTTGCTCCCCTTAAAGCATCAAAACAATTGCTTTAGTGAGTGATTCCTTCGGTGTCTCATTCTCTGCTAGGGACAAGGAGCAGAAACCAACTAATTAGGACAGTTAGTGTGTGATGCTCAGTAGAGAGAAAGGAATTGGACATAAGGAAATAAGGAAAGGAGTGGTTTTAGGTGTATGGAATGGTTGCACTCATTCAGGTATTGTTCATTTATTTTTCAAGAAAGAGAAGATAAAAATATCTCCTTATATTATCCCACTCCAATAAAGTGAGAAGTGTGCATCTTTCTTCTTACTTACCTTGCAAAATTCCTAAACAAACCTAACTTTTATTCCATGGCATTAAGGACTAAAATTATTCTAAAGAAACAGAAAACAACAACTGCTTGTTTTATAAATGCTTAAAGCTTTAAACAAAATGCTTTAAAAAAATTTTTAACTTTGTTTAAAGCAGTGTTCTGAGTACTTTGTAGATATTAACTCATGTAATCCTTAGAATGAATTCATATGGTGGATGCTCCTATTACTACGAAGGAACCTGGGGCACAGTAGATATTTTGCCTGACTTACACAAATAGTAAGAATTGATCTGTTTGGGGGAAAGAGTCCAAGACAGTCAGTGTGACTCCAGATTCAGACTCAACTACTATGGTATTACTGTGAATTTATTTTCGAGAAGAGATAATATGATAAAAACAAAATGCAATTAATCAAAAGACTGTAAAAAAGGATTAAAAAGAGAAAGACCAAAAGTAGATCTGCTAATCAAAATGCATTGTTAAGTGTATATAATATCCAAAATCCATGTTTCTTTCTAGAAACAAGAAAATACCTTACATCCACTGGAAGTATCTCTAGGCTGAGGTTCACGATAAAAAATACCTGGGAATGAAGATCCAATGCAGTCTATCTCCCTGACAGTATTTCCTGAATCTAAACACAAAAGGCCTTCTTTTATTTTTCATTTTCCATTTAATATTGGTGTCCAACTGAGGCTTATGAAGTATGTGAAGCCAATGGCCAGTACTTTGGGATACCAGTGTTTTGTGTGAGTGTGTGTATGTGTGTCTTTCAGCATGAAGCACTACAACTAACATTTATTCTTTTACTTTAAGGGGCAAAGGACCACTAAAGCATACAACCGATGTGATCTATGCAGCTAAAATGATATCGGAATCTGGATCAAGGATGGATGTTCTTGCTCGGCAGATTGCCAACCAAGTGAGTTCTCTACAAACAGACATGGTGAAAGTCCATTCTAGTTGCTCTCTGCCATGTATTGGGTTTGTACTCCCCTGGATCAGTTTTCCCTAAATTATTATTTAATTATTTTTAAAATTTTTACTGCATAATTAATATGCAAGTAGTGGACAATTCATTCTAAGGACACAATTATTTCTTAGGGCTTTATTACCATTATTTAGGGCTTGGTTATTTCTTAGGTGTGTGAGCTTCAAATATATTCAAATTGTTTTAAATATCAGCTTTTTTAGTTTTAGATCTACTCTAATTATTAATTGGCTGTGATACCTGATGTTAGTATTTATTTTTCCTTGATACTTTAGATTTTTTATTTTTTGCTCTTCAAAATCAATACCTTTCAAAATTCTACTATGTTAGGTAGTCTTTGTCACCAACATATTGTGGCATTCTGTATAAAATTGAAAGGCAAATAGTAATTAATAGAATACTAAAGTGAAGATATAAAATGTAGCAAGTATATAATCCTTACAGAGATTGATGTTAAAAGTTTATAAACACTTGGTTTCCTTTTTTTAGATTTCTCCCCTCTCTATTCCAATTTTCTAGGCAGCAGCTACTTTATTAGTTACCTTTTGCTTAACTTTAATTGAAAAATATGTCAATTTCTTTAGTTAATGTACTAGAAATTCAATTAATATTTCAGACTGAGATATAGTATTACTTTGCAGGTTTTATATTATTCAACTTCATAATATATATTTATCTCCCTTTGGGGAATAAAACATTTTTCTTTTTGAATGTGCAACTATTTCATATTATTTATTGCTTATGTTCTTTGAGGGTAACTTTATTGGGCTACTTCTTATTATTTATTCTCTTTATCTTCTATTTCTTGAAACATCAAGAACATCCTCTTATTAGATATTATATTTGTGCCTACAAGAGAGGAGAAATAAATAAGGAGTAACAATAATAATAAATATTCCATAAATATACATATATTTTCAGTCACTTACTACTTTAAGCATTATAAACATTTTATTAGTATTTTTAGTATTTAGTACTTACAGTTAAAAATAAGCTTTATCCTAATATAACTCAAAATCAGGTATGGATAAATAAAGCTCAAATTCACACAAGGTTTTCTGTATTTTAGAATTTGATGACATTCACTTTTATGAGAGAGACTAAATAGTAGTAGAAACTATAATGCATTAGATAGAATTACATGTACTGATTATTTTAAAATATTTAATGCTCTCTCAAGGATGCTGCTTTTTCTTTTGAAATGCACAGTTTTCAAAGTTCAAATAATTGTGTCAGTTTTAAGTGTTTTTGTTTCTTATACTGTTATTTTTTAATTGTATCAGTTCACTTTGAAGTAAGTAGTTTTATAACATAGACTTATTAAATTACGTCATTGTTTTTAGCATTATTCAAATTGTATGGGAGAAAGTAAGAGTATTGCCTCATTTCCGTATAACTTTTACATTTTAAGAGAAGCATAAAGAATCAGTCACTGGCTATGTAGAATTATGGATGATTCTCTTTGGCCTTTTCCACTTCACACAGTGGAATAGTTTCAAATAAATTACTTTCATTCTGAATATAGAGAGTTATAAAGAATCAAAATTGAGAATAAAGAAAGTGACTCTTGTTAGTGATCCCCTGCGGAGATTGTCTCTGACTGTGTTTTTTATATTGTTTGATAAATTTAACATTAACAATTTTTAGACAGAAAATAGTATCTGAACTTAATTGTGGAATAAAATGAATAATATAAGCAAAGAGATTTTCATGGTGTCTATGTATATTATGAAACAAATCTGCCAGAACATTCATTAATTTCTATTTTAAACAATCTAATTAGTTCCAAAAATTTTAGTAATTTTATGATTCTTCCTAAGTCTATGCTTTATGAAAGTGTCAGAAGGTCAAACATCAACCCAATTTCCAATTCTACCTAACATGGATTTGTGATATATATATTTGTATATATAATAGTCTAACACACATATGTATGATAAATTTAGTTTCATTTTATAATTTCAAAGTCAAAGTTCGTATGAGAGAGACTGAAATGAAATCCGACTGATTGAAGCTTCCAATTCTCTAATTATGCCTTCCTAGACATCCTTTGCTTTTTACCAACCTTCTTCCCTGGCTTCCTTGTTTGCACATATGTTTATTGTATGTAACCATGTACAATTCACTACACTGGCATTAGCTTGCCATTAGCTAGCTAGGAAGAGATGAACTAAAACTTTCTGTTTTGACGTCCAGAACCCTAATGTAAGCTTACTTGTCCTGATCACCCAACATCTCTTGGGCTTTGAAAGTGTCTTGAGATAGTGTGATAGATTATTCATGCCATCCAACACCATATTGTTCAGGTCCTCTAGAACTCTGTCACTGATCTTATCTCTAGTAGAAATCATATTCTTAAAGGACAGGATGTTGTTAGCTATCATATTTCTTAAACATCTTCCTCATGACAGAGAGAAGGACCAGTTAGAGAAGTATTACTCTTACAAATCTGATTTCAGACTCTTAGTACACCACTCTATCTGTTCCTTGACTCTGCACTATAATTCACTATGTTAAGCAGATATTCTAAATTAGATGAACTGGATACACCTCACAAGTAGAAATAACACAAAGGAAGATTTCAATTAGTTAGAGAAGCAGTATACCCCAAATAGGAAAGAGATGAATATGATCCAAAATAAAATTAATATATGCTTTTTCACAAGGAGAGACAAAATTAGACTTCTTGACTCCTGGGTGGTGTGTCTGAAGCCAAATATTCCTAATAGAAAATTGCAGTTTTGGGAAAGCAGATATCCAGATTATTAGCAGGGTTCTCCCACCTAATCAGAACACAATTAAAATAAATTTTTATTGTTAAATACATTGAAAGCCAATGCTAATTCAAGAAAAAATAACATTTAAAAGACAAGATAAATAATTATAAGCCAAATCATACAAAATGCATTCATCTATGAGCAAAACAACCTACAAGGGTAATTTATATTGATATTTTGACAAAATATCATCAGTGGCTAGCTTCATTTGAATTGTTTTCCTGCTGACGTTATAAGAGGCAAAAATGTACTGTATTAAGACTATACTGAAAAGAAACTTCTGAAGCATTCATTACATCATTCTAACATGTCTCAAGGTTATAATTTCTAGATATAGCTTGTGACAGTATTTGTATCTTGATATCATTATCTATCTGCAAATTATTTTGAGCAGAGATATTGTTACCTAGATTTGTTCTCCAGATTAATGAAGCTTTACTTTATACACAAATGCGTAACAGTTTCTCAGGAATTAAATAGGAATAGATACTGAAGTATTTGGTCTATTTGCATCCTTGACAAAATGGTGTCCTTTTTAAAGGCATGCTGTTTTACTGTTTTTCCTCTTTATTGGATCCTTGAAACGAAGCCTTAAATGCTTTGATGATGATTATAAATATTTAGGTTTATTTCATGTGTGCAAAACTATGTCCCTAGAGATATCTTTCTCTATTCTGTGTTTTAGCTTGCTTGCTAAAGAGCAGCAATGATAGGCATAGCAAAGAATAAAAATGTTCCAAGTATGCTGAGATTTCTAGTTATAATCTCATATTAATGACTGACCGGATTTAACAGAAGGAAGAAAGGAAGAAAACACTATTCATTGAGATGGTTAATAGAAGAGAAACATAGATTTTATAGTGGGCAAGATGGATTATAAGATAGTTGAGGGTTATGTTTTGAGTGTGAAATGTTGATGGGACAATAAAATCAGCTGGGCAAATTAACTGTATGGCAGATCTTTTGAAGACAGGGCTGGGTGATAGAGATTTAACAATTTGTATTTTGTGATAGAAGCCAGAGCAGCATGTACTATTGTCCAAGAGGAAGGTGACAGTGAAAATATGCCCAAGAATGAAGACTGAGAACACCAACAGGACGGCATTGAAATGTTTTTAGAAGACACAGTCATGAAGAAGAGAGAGATGGGATCACAGGGTTGGGAGAAGGTTTTTGTTTTGAGGAACTTTATGTTGATGCATTCAAGGATAGAAAAAGGAGGCATGGAAAGTACAAGAAAGATGGGATCATTGGTGATCTGTGACCCTGAGGAAGGTGAAATGAGACAGCCTCTAGGTCGGACTACAAGTGGAGCAATGAGCCCTGAGGGAAGGTAAAGGTCATTGACCCAGAGTGCTTTTGCTATCACTAATTGCTTGAAATTTCTATTCTAGAAATTCACAGTGACACCTAATACATTCCATTAACAAACTTTGCCAGCTTAACAGAATTTAAACTGCTGTCTGTAATTGCAAAAGTCATTTTAAATGTGTCTTAAATAAAGTTTATACTCCAATATGGACAAAAGATAGCTAAGCTTATGGAATAAACGTCTTTAAAAGTATTCACTTTGCTAATTCACCCTTAAAATTTAAAATGAAAGGTAGTAAATGATTTTTACTTTTCCTCTCATTGCTAAATGATGTATTCTGTACTGGTACCAAGCATCTTACTAAACGAATGAAAACTAGTTTAACATGACAAAACCACTTAGGCTGACAGGCCGTCTGCTTGCCTGTACTAAGTGTTCCAGTGGTTATAAAACCTAAATAAAAAAAAATCCATGCATTAAAAAGCTAACCAGATGTCCTGGTCAACATCTCCTATCTTAATAAATTGGGAAATAATAACCAAAGTATGTTATGATACTGTACCACTTTATTTGCCTAAAAGTCTCTAACAGTGTTTAAAGTTATTTCTATGCAAATTTAATCTGGAGAAAAATATCAAGGGCATGAATGCTCTACAAATTTAGGGCCCTAACTTTTTTTTTATCACCCTCATGTAGAAATATTAAAGATAGGGAAAACAGTATTTGATAGTATAAAGGAGGTTTGGCACTAGTAGAAGAGAGCATTCATAAAGTGGGAATGATTTGTTCTCCTGATTCTGCTTCTAAGCAGCCAAAATCAATTCAGAGAGGCCTTCCAAATGTCAGTAGGAAAGAAGACTTTAATAAATTTTATAGTATGGAATTTACCAGTTAGTATGTTTTTCTACTTCAGTTATAAAACTGACTACCATCTTTAAGTGTAACCAAGATTCTCATCAATTCTGGAAATTGAGAGTAAATTTGGGGTCAAGCAACTTTTAATTTCAAAAGTTCAATTTGAAACTTTCTACTCATTTGACCCATTGTTTCCTTAAGAGAATCCTAGACAATTTTAGTATGGCCTTAAAAGAGTCCCTTGAAAGACACTATGTTATACTTAAACATGGGTAATTGCAACCTTAGTTATTGGTCAAGAATCTAATTATTAGTTTGCAAGTTTGACTTTACCAGAAGTTATGCAGTAGTGCTGGTCTTTAAGGAATAAATTCACATTAGTCCTGTGTACAATTTACAATTGAGAGTGTCACTTGAAAAAACCAATTTACAAATCAGAGCTGCAATTTACTGTTTTATTATATGAGATAAAACTAGCAGTAAGACTGATATTGTTACTAGACCTGAGAGGTAGGGTCTGCATGTGAGCTTGAATACTAACTCTACCATGTATTATTCGGACAAGTCAGTTAACACCTCTGCTCATGAAGTTGTGTGATTATTAAGAGTTAATATAGGTTAAACACCTAGAATGGTATATGACAGATAAAACAGTATGTATCAGAATTATCACTCAGTACATCCATAAGAAAAAAGAATAGGCAAGACAGTTAGTTGGAACAAAGAAAACCACCTGGTGAATGAAGCAGAGAAAACTAAATTCAAATCTTCAGACAAATCATATTTTCTATCCAAAACTTAGTTTCCAAATGTGCAAAATGATAATGATTAGACCTAAGTAAAGTGGCACTTTACTAACTGAATTATGCACATACAGGACACATCTCATCCACACATTCTGCAGCTATGTAAACTAGTCTATGTAGCAAATATAAAAGAGACTAAGATTATCAGGAATTTTCCGACAACCCTCCAGTTTATGAATTACTAGGTAAAAGCAGAAATTCATGGAATGCTTTTTATTCTTTCATCCTACTTTTTAATTTGCACTTAGATCATTAGAATTACAGCATTTATGATAATAACATTTTTATAATTATAGGAGCAATATGTATTTTAAGATATGTAAAATATGAAGAAAATTTTTTAGATTATTCATTGTATCATGTTTATCATTTTCATGTATTTCACAGAATGTTTTAAACACAAACACATTCACATGATTTGATTGAGAGATGAAATTCTAAACATTGCAAATTTTTACTTTCTAAATATTTTACCACATCTTTTGAACATATTATTTTATTGAGACTATTCTTCATCACATTGTGTAGATGGGAATTCTTATTTAATCTTTCCACTATTTTAGGACATTTTTTTCAAAATTTTGCTATTATAAGTAATGCTGCAGTGAATATTTTGCATGTAAATTACTGTCCATACTCCCATGTTTTATGGATTTCAAGTATTTAATGTATTTAAATTTATTTAAGTAGAATTAACTTACCAGGAATTTTTTTTAAATGATTATAATTACATAGGAGAAAGAGCACAAAGATTAAACCCTGACTGCAGATATTTACTGTGCTATGATGAAGCTCAAAGCTGACCTCCAGGAAGCTCCTTACAGAAGATAATATCATGTAGGAGACTATTTTTGGTAAAGAAATTTAATATGTCTCTAAAACGTGTGCTGTTTTTTTTTTGGCTCCAGGTAGATCCACAGCTGTTATCTAAGGTGTAGGTGATTCCTTTTGTCTGTAATTACTTGCTAAAATTAATAGAATATAATGCATGTTTTGCTGAAGATTTTGTTTTTATGTCCCTGTAAATAACAAAGGAGAGTCAGTGCAGAATTATGGTTCCTGAGGAGCAAATTGAGGTGAAGGGAATAACTGCACTTAAAATACTTCTTTAGATTTACCTAAAAAAATGTAATCTGAAGGCTTCTAACCTTACCGTAAATTAAAAGCAATTACTTTATTCACCTTTTCATGTCCAGAAATTCCTTTACTATTTCTTTTGTCTTTGATGAAGTAACTTAAGTTGAAACATGAATAAACTCTTCTAACATTAGCAGCATAGAATCTACATGGGCTTGGTCTGAGAAACTGGACTCCATGAAAATAAAGTTGCTGACTTATAAGGTACCTGCAATGTTAATAGTTACTCTCTCTGACCTACTTACTATTTATTTTTCTATGTTTATGTTTTATGCATATTTAGTGTCCAGATCCATCATGCAAACAGGATTTGTTGGCATACCTGGAACAGATTAAATTCTACTCTCACCAGCTGAAAATCTGCAGTCAGGTTAAAGCTGAGATCCAGAACCTGGGGGGAGAACTCATCATGTCAGCTGTGAGTACTGCCCAGCACTCACACCATCACATGTAAAAAATGCCTGAAACAAAACAGCTACATCCCTCCACACCCCATCTAATCTTTTTGGTCTATGTAGCTTAAAACAAACTCAATTTGAGGGTATAAAATTGCATGAAATGAAGCCAGCAAGAAATCTTGCTGGATTTCCTAAAGAAATGTTAAGTCAGTACAATTTGTCTTTATTTATATTAGAGATTTTAGAGCAAATCAGGTTTGTAAGCTATTTGGATAAGAAATGGATGTTAATTTAGAGCATGGTTTTCTGACTTCCAAAAGGGTACAGATAAGACTCTGAATTGAATGAATCCTATAGGTTTTATAAAATAAATGCATAGGGATTGTAAATCAATTAAATAATCACTTTATTTATTTTTCCATTATTCATTCTATAGCCCAGAAATTCAGTTCTTGAAAACTGTTATTTTCATATGTAATTACAGAAGTGGGGTGTGATAGAATACAGATTTAGAGGAACTTTCATAAAGTTTTTGGTGACCCTGAATTTCAAACCACTATAAAATGACTGTGGTAAAAATAACATCTAACTTTTCTGCTCTTCTTTTAATAACAGTAGATCATTTCTCTAGAGCAGGTATGGTAATAAAATAATATTTGATATCTATATTGGATTCAGTTATCAGTGACTTTGAGAAGGACATGGACCAAGGTTATAAATTTAAGTTAAAGTGAAACACCATGCACATTCTAGGTAGTTATGTTAATGAGGACAAATTTTTTAAAATGATAGCAATATATTTATATAAAGTTGTAACATCTTGGACTTTTATAGCCTGACGTCAGACTTTTCCTCAGTGAACTAACATCTTAAAAAGAATGTAGTTGGGAAAATAAAACAAAGAACTACCACCACAGGTAGAGGGCAGGGAGCTAATCCTTATTGACTATCTGTCTCTTAACCATGTTTTATCTAATTTAACCTTCAAACAGCATGCTAAATAGATTGTTTATTTGCTTGTTTTATTTTCTTTAACTCTTGAAGAAAATGAAATTCAGAAAGCTTATGTAGCTTCCTCAAAGTCATGCTAGTAATGTCAGAACTGGGGTTTATTTTCAAAAGCCCATGCCTTCTCAGTTCAGGTGGACAACCTTGATTTTATGATTAAACTGAAGAGTACAAAAAAATAAGTGAATAATTGGGAAATTATGTTTGATTATTTATTAGAGATAAAAAAATTTAGCTTCCTCAATATACAAAATTGCAAACATAAACACAAACCAACACAACCTGTCTAATATTTGTGCTCGGTCCCTTTTCAAAGGAAAAGGTCTTTTAAGTAGTCACAATCTATACACAAAGAAACACATGTGGGTGTATGAATACATGCATGTATATGTACATGCATGTATACACACAGCATGCATATACATAATATACATTTAAAAATACTGTGTCTTTATTTTGGATTTTCATTTTTCTCATTTTACCTTATTCCGCTTTAAATGTGAAAAAAAAAAATTATTTGTAGACCCAAGTCTATTTTCTCTTTGCTTTTGTCAGTTTCACACACTTACCATAATCCAGAAGGACTGAATCGATGTGAATTTTATTTTCTAATTATATATCACTTCTTTGTATTGTCTGAAATGAAGCTTTAAAAAAAATTGATAGTTCAGCCAATACATTACTGTTAAAATATATTAATGTTAATTATCCCTCCAAAATGCAATAATTTCTTCCAAGTGTACAAATAGAGTTTATATTCCTTCCTGTTTGGTATGATGATTAAAATTAATGAACTTTACATAGTATACAGATAGATTAGGCATGAGCCATTTAGAACCCGTGAATTATGATTTAAAAACTGAATCATTATATAAAATGAGGAATAACATTGCAAATCCAAAACTATTTTATCATCCTTTTGCCCACAATTTCCCATTAGAAAAAATAAATCTGTAAAAAGGAAGCATGCCATGCCCCCTTTGCATGCCTTACTGCCATCTGCTTGCACGTAGATCTTGAAAAGCTTTTAAAATATATTTCCTTTATGTGTGCCAGAGCACATATGCTTTAGTCTCTCGATGACCCTGAGTTCTTGTCTTGTCTTCTTTCTCTTTAAATTGAAAAGAAGCTCTAATCTAAGTCATCATTTTTCTAGGAGTTCTTGTGAAAAGTAACAAGCATGATTCTAAAGCAGGGTAACTCATTAAAAATTACAGAAATTTGTTATTCAAAACTACAGACTATTCAAAGTTCACTAAATCAAGTTTGTATTACAAAATCAGGTTCATGAAACATACTTTTAAATATTTTTGGTCAAAAAGATTAGGTATGAATAGAATACATTTCTGGAGTGAATGGGCAGAGTGCTTTTTGGGCCTGGAGTATTAATATTTAGGATAAAGAAGGTGAATTCATAGCATAAAGAAATTTAAAAGTCATTCTCATAATAGACCATTTAATTAAGATTATTCCCCACTCTTCCTTACATATATCTGCAAGCACCTATCCTTAAGTTACATGTTTCATTTATAAGGAAACCAAAGGGTAGTTAGTCCCAAACCCCAAATATAAATCGAGCATCCTCCCTGTGCCAGGCATCATACAACAGCTGGGGGACCCAAAGATGAATACATGATTCTTTCTTTAAGATGCTCAGATACATGAAAAATTAAGATACATAAGATACACCAAAACACATATAAATCACTCCAAAACAATATAATAAACTGTAATTGTGGTGTGCACAAAAACACATAGTAGCAAGTGAGGGAATAATTGATTCCACTGCTCTGGCAACTGGGCAAGGGGAAGCTCCAGAGGTGGCTTAACATTACGTTAGGCCTTGATTAATAAGTTTTAAAAATATATATACTTGTGATATTAGGAGAGAAAGAACTTGAGGTAAATGGCACAACTGAAGTAGAAAGAAAATAAGAAAAGATATGGAAATTTATGGAAGCAGCAAATAGTCTTGAGGAATTGGAAACAATACTTGGGACTGTTGTGTTGTGGGAGGGAGAGGGGGATGGAAGAAAAGCTGCAAAGCAAACGAGGGCCATTTCAGGAGGATCATTTATAACAGTTTAACTTTACCCTGTAGGCAACTGAGAGTAATTGAAAAATTTTAAGTGGATATAAACATATCTATGTATCAGAAAATTAATTCCTTTTGACAGGGCAGTGAAAGATGGAAAGATGAGGGCCTGGAGCATACAGTATTTAGGAATGATTTATTAAAATAGTCTAAGAGAGTAACAGTAAGAACCTGGATTAAGGCGACATTGGTGAGAATGGAAAAGAGTGTATCCATGCAAGAAAAATTATGAAATGAAAGTCATTAGATCAATGACCTATTGAAAGTTAAGGATGAAGAGGGAAGAATTAAAATTTACCCCCAGGGTTTTGATATTTGGTAGTTTACTTAGTCAAAAGTATCATCATTAACCAAATACTATATATGTGGAAGGAATAGTAGATTAGGAAGGTAAATCCATTCATTTGGGTTTCACTTGCTGAACATAAATGATTAGCAGGCACCCAAGTCTTAGAAAGGTCTAAGAGAAGTTGGGTGTATGGTTCTGGAGCTAAGAAGAGAAATATGAAGGAGAAATAGATGGGCGCTCCAGTGGAAGTGTGTTGAAAAAGATAAGAAATAGCTCAGGTGGAGATCCAGGAAGAATTTTTTTCTGAACCCAGTGATTCTGACGTGCTTGTATCAGATACAGAGACTTGGTTGTGGCAGTTTCAATAAATTTGGAGTTTACTATCTCTGTAAAAAGAGTCTGAAGATAGGTGATCCAGGACTATATGGCAGCTTCACAAAGTCATCGGAGTGAGGCACTTTTTTCTTTCTGCTTTTATTATCTTTGGTTTCTAACTTTCACTTTTGTCAAGGTCAAAATTTGGCATCTCTTGCTGTAGCTATGGGTTTTATACTCCAGATAGTAAGAATGAAAGGACGTGGAAGCAAACATTCCTTACATCTTTTTTAATCCTTCCCAAATGCGTTCTCTTACATCTTACTGTCCAGAATTTAATCACATGGCTATAAACAATTACAAGAAAGCCTGCAAAATGCAAAATGTGTTTGTGTGTGTTTTAATCTGGGCACCTTGCTTTTCCCAAATAAATCAGGTTTTATTTCTATGAAAAAAGAGAATGGATACTGGGTGGCAAGTAGCAATTTTTACCCTATCTTTTTATGATTATCAAAATCACAGCATTATTCACATACATTGTTATCTACTTTTTATATATTTTTTTCTCTAGACTATAAAACTATTAAGTATTTTTGAATGATTGAAGGTATAGTAGTCAATGACTATAAATAAGGCAGAAAATTCAGGCTGAGTGAACCTTAAAGTACATATTGGATTCAGTACTTACAAGGTATCTTTATATCTTTCCCAAAGCAGTACCAGTAATGTGATATAGACAAAAGTTAGACCATAATGGGCTAAATTCTAAGCATGCAGTGACAAAAAAGATGGTAGCAAAGACTAAATTTTCTGTAAGTTTGTAGTTGAAAGGGGGTGCAGGAGGGAGGAAGGGAGACTTGAGGGACAGATGGAATTGCTTTTTTTACTTACCATTTTTTGAGTAAGAAATGAATTCTATTTATTTTTTTAACATTTTTATTTATGTACTTTCTAAGATGACATTAACTGAAAAAATGTTTAGATAAAGGGCAAGAAGAGGTAAGAAAAGAGTGAATCTATGAAAAGTTGAGACTGTAACTGATAGAATAAAGACTTCAGCAAGGCGGAAGGAACAGAAGTAGGAAAACAGTTAGAAAGACTAGGTTTGAGGGGAAAGAAAAGCTTTTCCCCGACCCAGTATAAAGATGAATGAAGATATAAACACATTTAGATACAGATGAACAAGAGGTTGAAGAGCTACTTGATGGACCCCATATTTTGGTAAAATGAGAGTAGTTCTCAATTAAGATTAAGATTTAAGTGCTCTATCCATAGTTTCATTTTAGCAAAAGAACAAAGTAAATATGTCCATATTTCAATCACTTTTCAATATTGCTTAGATGAGAAAA